AGAGATAATAAGATTGGCACACGATAGAGTGGTGTTTATAAAGGGCTGTTGTACATAGGGTTGCTCTGAGTCACAGGTGACTTGACAGCATGTAACAACAAATATATTATTGATGGGGACAGTTCCCCTTTATAAAGCAGGTAGAAGTCAGACTCGGGTACCCCCTTGTAGCAAAAGTTCCTTATACAACTAATTTGTTCAATGTTTGCTGTACCAACTACCACAGACCATCAATCAATTGTGAAGGATGTTGGAGAGATATCAGGTCTGTATGTCATATGTGGCCAAATGCACATCCATGAGTAGTTCTTGATCAAGACATCATTGTATTAGAGATTGCTATCTTGGTGGAGAAGAAGACATATATGGGGGCAGGGGAACATCTGCCATCCAGGAGAATACATGCAACAAACTAGTTCCAACTTAGAACAGTGACAAGTATAGGGATGAATCCCAGCAAAGGATACTATACTAGTTCTCCCTTAAATACTTATGGCACATATATGCTTAAAGGAGCCTGCGGCACCAGCCAGGTGGCAATCATATAGTCTTTCGTTAAAAGAGACAACAATCAACATACTCGCCTCACTTTTGAGCAGATTGAGACCAATGCATCAGAATGGTCGCTACGGTGCCATAATCCTGTGGGGGCTCACAAATCAGTGCTCCCCAACCCAAGGGTTTCATCCACTTAATCCTGTTCACTGCATCAGATGTCATGGCTGAGGTGATCAACCAAAACCAGCTGCTCAGGTTCAGTGGCCAATTGTGAGAAAAGCATAGAGCTGAGGAAGTTTTTGACATCACTTTACTCTGAACCTCAGAGACTGGAGAAAACCTGAGCCCTGTGGGAACTTTCCCACTAAGTTTTCATAGTACTGAAGACAAAGGTGACATCCTGCTGCACATGCAATATGGTCACTAACCTTATACACACATGTGGTTATACTTGTTGTTGTTGTTATGTGCCGTCGAGTCGTTTGCGACTCATAGCAACCCTATGTACAACAGCCCTAAACCCTGCTCTATCCTGTGCCAATCACACTGCCTCTGACACACCCATCCCGATTACCCCAGTTACTGAATCAATCCATCTCATAGAGGGTCTTCCCTCCTGCGCCATCCCTCCACCCCCCAAGCATGATGTCCCTCTCCAAGGACCTGTACCTCCTTGCAACATGTCCAAAGTATGTTAGACGAAGCTCCAGAATCCTTGCCTCCAAGGAGTTGCTTGGTTTAATCCCCTCCAGGGTGAATCTGTTTGTTTTCTTGGTAGTCCATGGTACATTCAGTACTCTTCTCCAGCACCACAGCTCAAAGGCATCAATTCTTCTTCTGTCCTCCCTAGACATTGTCCAGCTCTCTGATGCATAACAAGTGATTGCAAAGAATTGCTTTGTATCAGGCGCACCCTAGTCTCCAGAGAGACACCGTTGCTCTTGAGTACTTTAGAGAGGTCCCTAACAGCAGACTTTCCCATCACAATACGCTTTTTGATTTCCTGACTGCTGGTGTCAAGAGTGTTGACCGTGGAGCCGAGCAAAATGAAGCTGTGAACAATCTCAATCTCTTCGCTATCCATCCTGATGCTAGCAATTGGTCCAGGGGTGAGAATCTTTGCCTTCTTAACATTGAGCCTCAGTCCATACTGAAGGCTGCAGTCCTTGACCCTTCGCAGCAAGTGCATGAGGTCCTCCTCAGTTTCAGCAAGCAGGGTTGTGTCACCTGCATAACGCAGATTGTTAATAGATCTTCCACCAATCCTGATGCCAAACTTCTCCTCATAGAGCCCAGCCTCCTGGATAATCTGCTCTGCATACAGGTTGAAAAGGTATAACTAATGGTTATACTTAGTTGTACATAATAACGATCAGCAAAGCAATACTGCACTTTCTCAAACATGGCAGTGGTTTAGCTAAAATATACTTGTTGTAAATATATAACACATCACCTTAGTGGATGAATATTTAAATTTTTTTTTTAATGGTGTGACAGAGATTGTGAAGTTTGCACAGGGTAGGATAGGGTTCAGATCTGTTGTTCACAGGGTCACTCCAAGTCACACTCAACGACAACTAACAACAACAATATATACCACATTTTGTCGATCCATTTGATGGGCATTTGGATTATTTTTTTTTAGCTATTTTGAATAATACGGTAATGAACATTGGTGTAAGAATATTTGAGTTTCTACTCTCAATTCTTTGGATATATATCTAGGAATACAATTGCTGAGTCATAATTCTGTGTTTTATTTTTTAAGGAACTGCCAAAGTGTTTTTCCAGAATAGCTGTACCTTTTTTACATTTCAAATAGCATTGACTGTGGGTTCCAATTTCTCCATATCTCAATAATAAGCTTCTTGGTGGGTATCACCTAAGTTTTTGTTTTTAGCCAAAGGTGATATTAAGACTTACACTTTAAAAATGTTTTCATTAAATTTAGCAACACAAAAATGTAAATGTAACTTTAACCATAATAGAAATTTTATTTCAGTCTCGTGAATATATTTATTCAGCCCCAAAGTCAGCCAAAATTGGATTGAAGCTTCTATTTCTTTTTCTTCTCTTTGTTTTCATTCTGATCATTTGCTGCCACATGTATGCCATTTCTCTTTATAGCTTGCCAACCAGGCTGGAATTCCTCCAGGTATTTACAATGTGGTTCCCTGCTCTCGAAAGAAGGCCAAGGAAGTGGGTGAAGCTCTTTGTACTGATCCTCTAGTGTCCAAAATTTCCTTTACTGGCTCAACAGCTACTGGGAAGGTACGTTGCTTAAGTCTCAAAAAAAATAAACATCAGTGTAGTATCTCCTCCTTATATTTACTGCCAGTGAGTCACTTAGGACTCATAGTGAACACCTATTGAGTTTCTGAGGCTGTAAATCTTTATGGAGGAGACTGTTTCATCTTTCTCTCTTAGAATGCTGGTGGGTTCAAATCACAACCTTTCAGTTAGAAAGCCAATACTTAAAGCTCTATACCACCAGAGCTCTTACTTCTCTTATAAACTATAAAAATACTATTTCATTTTTATGATAATCTTTACAAAATAGTATTCATAATTCTGTGACATAAAATAATGTCTGGTCATCTTCTGGAGACACTTTAATATCTCATTGTGGGTTGACCCAAGTTCTTATTTGGCAAAATCATAGGAATTTGAGAGTTGGAAAATTTCCCATTTAATTGTATGTGAAGTGGGTAAAAGCTAACCATATTTCTTTAATTGTAGAATGCCTGTTTCTTCCATAATTCAATGCTTTCAAAATTAGAGATTGCAGGAAAATGCAATTGATGCTTAAGTTGGTGTCTTAGAAATTTTATTTAGCAGAAATGTACTTCTTGTTATATGCCCTCAAGTCCCCTGTGACTCATAGTAACTGTATGCATATTGGCTCTGAAAACTGCCCTATTCTGAGCCAGTTGTACTTAAAGGAATGTAAATTTGTTGTTGCTTTACATTTTCTTTCTTTTTTTTCTTTTTCCTTAAACAGTGACAAATTCTTTCCCCCAGAGCTTCATGTACATTCCTATGAATGCATTTTTGTCTGTGCTTTTAAATGTGCAAAAGAAAGGATGGAGTAGAACAAAAGGTTTTATTTATAGAGATTGTCTTTAGCTGACACACTTTTTCCAGAGAATGAATGAATGAATAAATATATATATATATAATGCACAAGTACATATGAGTGGATAATAATACAGTGAAACCTGGGAGAACCAGAACTTGACAAGATTGTCTTGTTATTCCAGGTCTGACACCTTTTCTCCCTTTGGCTGTCACTCTCTGTTAGTGGACAATAGTTAAGGTTTTTCTTCTCTAACAGGTTTCTGCCTTACATAGGTTATAGTTTTTGCAAGTTTTACTATAAAAACTATACTATCAAAGTGTTGTGTAATTGTGTACAAACACCGTGGGAAGCAGGAAACAACGAAGACATTTTAGATCTAGTTTTAGTCACCTTTTTTGTGCTCACTCTCTGAGAATAGTGTTTTGAGACCCCATTAGTCTTTCATACTGGAAAGCAATTTTTATATCCATCAGCCACTCTGCCCTGGAGATCAATTGCTCCCAGAATTTAAGCTGATTCTCTGAGGATTCCAAATGTTACTATGAAGTAGTTAGACAATAAGAGACGGTTTTGAAACTCTTGGAATTCATGTCAGAGAAATCCCCAGGATGCAGGGCAAAGGACAGCAATTCACTGCTTTTCTTTACTTTTCTCAGCAAAATGTCACTTGATTTTGTCACATGGCCTCTAGGAAAAAGTCCAGTGATATTCTTGCCAAGCCAAACTTTTCCTCTTAAATCATTTCCTTAGAACAATGATTTGCTCAAGGTGCCTTAAAGGGAAAAGTATAGCAGTTGGAATTAGCACCACTCATATGTTTGTCATACTGTGGTGACTTGTGTATTTCAAGTACAATAAATGTCAATAGTTATGGAGGGGCTTCAGGCCTTTTGTTCATAGGGTTGCTATAAGTTGTGCTCGACTCAAAGGCAATCAACAACAACAATTTCAAATACTAACAGGGTGGCTCATGGTGGACCAGTTCCAAGAGTTTCCAGACTAAGACAGCAAGGAAAAAAGATGGTATTTTCTGGAAATTTAACAAGTAAAAACCCTAATAATAATTTCCCAGCAATCCCTAATAATAATTTCCCAGCAATCAAATAGCTGCAATAATGTTTTCATTAAAATGATATTATTGAACAAAGTACAAAGAAGTTTTAATAATTATTTGTTGAACACAAGATAATTATTTCACTTTGAACTTTTAAAAAATGCTGTCTGCCAGGAAATAAATTTTCATGAACTTGGTCTACTTTTTAAAAAAGAAAATATTCTCTCTCTTAAGTCAATCTAACACCTAACCTGACCTCCTTCTGGGGACAGAGCCTGTCTCTGGGTCTCTCTATCTGTAAATCTGCTTCCTTGGGTAAAATGACCCCATAAGGTTCAGTTCTCTGGGAAGAAAAGACAATGTGTTATGTGCATTAAAATGTGACTTTGTTCCATTAGCATGGCTTGGGAGAGGTAGTTTCAATGGCCTAAGATCTTGATCATGCTTATGCAAAACCTGTATTTGGACCAGGAGGCAGTCATCAAAACAGAGCAGGGAAACAATGCATGGTTCAAAATTGGGAAGGGTATACATCAGGGATCTGTCCTATCTTCATACCTTTCAACTTATATGCAGAACAGATTATCCAGGAGGGTTGGCTCTATGAAGAGAAATGTGACATCAGGATTGGAGGAAGACTGAACAATTTGCATTATGCAGATGACACAACCCTGCTTGCTCAAACTGAGGAGGACCTGAAGCACTTGCTGCAGAAGGTCAAGAACTGCAGCCTTCAATATGGATTGAGCCCAACATCAGGAAGACAAAGATTCTCACCACTGAGCCAACTAGCAACACCATGATAGATGGTGAAGAGATTGAGATTGTTAATAGCTTTAATTTGCTTGGCTCCCCAATCAATACCCTTGGTACTAGCATCTAGGAAATTAAAAGATGTATTGCACTGGGAAAGTCTGCCATCAGAGACCTCTCCAAAGTACTGAAGAGCATCAATGTCGGATGCTTAGTCTAGAGACTAAGGTGCACCTGATACAGGGCATAGTCTTTTCAATCACTTGCTATATATACATCAGCGTGCTGGACAATGACTAGGTATTATAGAAGAAGAATTGATGCCTTTGAGCTGTGGTTATGGGGAAGAATATTGAATATTCCATGGACTGCTAAGAGAACAAACAGGTTCACCCTAGAGAAAGTGAAATCAGGCTGCTCTTTAAAGGCAAGGATTCTGAAGCTTTGTCTGACCTATTTTGGACAGGTTGCAAGGAGAGACCAGTCTTTGGAGAGGGATGTCATGCTTGGGAGGGTGGAGGGACAGCACAAGAGAGGAAGACCCTCGAAAAGGTGGATTGATTCAGTGACAGGAATAATGGGAATAGGTGTGTCAGAGACAATAAGATTGGCACATATAGAATGGGGTGTAGAGTTGTTGTACACAGTCATTATGAGTTGCAGGCAACTTGACAGTACATAACAACAACAACAACCAGGATCAACTAAGAAAGGGCTCTTGAGATGAGGCTTATTTTTCCTTTGTTGTTGTTAGCTGCTGTGGAGTTGACTCTAATTTATTATGAGTCATGTACAACAGAATGTACAACCCACGTACAACAGAATGAAACTTTGCTGGTACTGTGCTGCCTTCATAATCAGTGGTTGTGCCCATTCACAGTGAGTGCTTCCTTGCCTTCCAACCTAAAAAGGTCATCTTTTAGCACTGCTGTTATAATCCACAGGGTCCTCACTAACAGAGAATGAAAGCAGAATGATAAGATATCAGGCCCTTGACATCTGGACACATATAGAAATGCTGGCAAAGAAACAGCCTTTTACCAACTCCTAAATTTTTTCAAAGCCCATGACTGTAAGATGTCCATCACTGGAGGAGCTGAGTGACCTTGGACAGTGAACACTGCCTGTTGTGTTTTAATTATCTCAAGTGGGTTCTCTTTTTCCTACAGCCATATTTAGATAAAGACCTATTATCCAGTTACTAACAATAACTGGGGTGAGGGGAGTTGGTGTGTTGCAATTAGTGAGACCGGCTTAGGAGAGGGAAAGGTTCAGGGCTGCTGTACATAGGGTTGCTATACCTCACAAGTGACTCAATGACACATATCAACAATAACATACTATGACATGTTTGGAAACAGGAGTGGAATCCAATTCCTAAAAAACATGCTTCTGGAAACTCTATGAACTTTGATAAATGTTGATAGTTGTAGAGGTGCTTCAGGCCTTTTGTACATAGGATGACTGTGAGTCGTGCTCGACTTGATGGCAATCAACAACAACATCCAGTAACAACATCCAGTATTATGCTTTAAGTGTTGGGCTGTTTTAGGTGATGATCCAAAAAGTCCACCAGTGGCTCCTCAAGAGAAAGATGAAGCAATCTGTTCCTATAAAAATTTACACACTTGGAAATCCAGTGGAAGATCATCAGGTGTTAGAATCAACCTGCCAACAATGGGATTTTTATTTACCTTTTAAATTTTATAGATATCCAGTAATGAGGAAGCATTGATGGTTCAGTGGTAGAATTCACCAATGCATCTTATGCCAACTAATACATCTCTTGCACGGCCAACACTTGTCTGTCATTGGAAACTTACATGGGGCTATGATGCTGAGCAGGTTTTAGCAGAGCTTCTAGACTAAAACAGAATAGGAAAAAAATCTCAGTGGGATATTAATGAAGATTAGCCATTGAAAATCCTGTGGATCTTAGCATTCTGATCAGTCATGAGCTGGTGTGGGTCTGGGAGGCCTTTTATTCCATTGTGCATGGTTGCCAGAAGCAGTTAAAAATCCTGTGATAAAGAAGTTTTAAGTTTGTAAGAAATTGATTATAACTACACTTACAATTAATTAATCTCTGAGGTATCAATTCTACCTGTACAAATTTACTATGAGGAAATAAATGAAATATTATCTTTAAATAACAAGAATTTGAGATCAAACTAAATGTCAAAAACACAGGAGCTGGATAAGTAAATTTTGGAAGACTTATAGATTAAAATATGTTGTTGTTGTTATTGTTGTTTTTGTTAGATACAATTAAGTCAAGTATGACACATTGCAATTCTATGAATAACAGATTGGAATCCTGTTCAATCCTGTGCCATCCTCATCATCTCTGATACACTTGAGCCCATTGCTGCAGTCCCTGTGTCAGTCTATTTCTTTGGGGGTCTTCTTCTCTTCCCCTGACTTTCTATTTTTGCAAGCATTATGTCCCTTTTTAAAGAATAGCTTGTCCTCACAGTATGCCCAAAGTATGTAAAACACTATACAGGCCTATAAAAGAGGCCACAGAAATATGTGTAAGGACATGAGAAGATCTTTCAGTTATAGTGTTACACTGAAGAAGCAAGTTATAAAAAGATCTAGTTTTGAGCTTTTAAAAAAAAAAAAAGAAGAAGAAGGTCATGAGCCTGAATGGCCAAATAGATATACTCACTTGTCTTGCATCTTTATTATTATTATTGTTAAAACTTGTGATAGAATTTATTTTGGGAATAAATAGTACAGTTATATCTACCACCAGTCTGTCAGTTTGTCTTACTGCAGTGATTTGTGGTTGCTATAATAACAGGATCAATCGCTCAGAGTGGACATGTTTCAGTGGACTTTCCAGATTAAGATAAAGTGAGAAGAACGGGAAAACATAGTGATTTCCTCCATTTTTTTCTTCCAAAAATGAAGACTTATAGATCACAACAGATCTTTGTCCCACTTGCTTGCTTTGGATATATCATTATTGTTGCTTTGTGCCATCAAGTTAAAACACTCATAGCTGACCTTCTCGGGGGTTTTCTAAGCCTATAAATCACATGGGAGTAGATTGCCCATCTTTCTCCCATGAAGTGGCTGCCTTTGGATTCAAGCTGCCTGCCTTTGGGTTGTCAGCACAACTCATTACTACTAGGCCCCCAGACCTTCCTGCCTCTTAAGTTACTGGTTCTCATTTTTTCCCCCTTTCTACCTGACCTTTTTTTTTACTCATTGTTGCACATTTTCTTCTCCCATCTCCTCCAGCCCACCATGCAGTGCACCCTTGTTCCAGATTGTTTCCACACATATAATGCATAATCATATATTCCTTTCAGATAAATCTTCCCCTCATCTGTTTTTGGTTCTCATTTCTAACAGTCATTTAAACCCTGCTTTCATTTCTTCTCCCTTGCAGCCATCTAAGCAAGCCCATCACTGAAGGGAAAACCTCAGAGGCATTTTTCAGGGCCGTGGATATGATTTAGGAAAAATGTCTCTATGGTACTTAGAACATCCCAAGTCTACACTTAGGGTTTTTCTCTCCCAAACACTGAGAAAGATTGACATAATAAATTAAAACATGATATCTAATTTACATCAGATTATCCATTCAATTGGTGAGGAAGGAAGAAGAGCCACAAAATGAACCAGATCGAAAAGCAACATAGCATAAGGAAAATGCTGAGGAAGTACTAGAAGACTCATCAGGAGAAATCACTGTAGCAAGGACATGACATTTGGTGCAGTAGAGGGCCAAATAGGGGTGAAGAGAGAGCCTTAGTGAAATGGATTGGTACAGTAGCCACATAATGAACCCCAACCTACTGTCACCATGAGGGTGATCCAGAACTGGGCAATGTTTAATTCTAAATGTTTATTGTTAAACTTAAGGTTATCATGGATCAGTGTCAGTGGAAGCTAGCTATCGTATTAGTGATACCAAGTTGACTACAACTCATAGCAAGCCTATGAACCACAGATCTAAACCTTGCCCTATCCTGCTCCAGCCCATTGTTACAGTCCTTGTGTCAGCCCACCTTGTTGAAGGTGTTTCTCTGCTCCTTTTCATATACTTAATATGGTTCAAGATTAACACAAACAGGTTTACATTGAGAAATCTTACCTTCACCCCTGTCTCTGTCTCCTTCCTCACCTCCTGTAATTGCTTACTTCTAGGTTTTAGTTATCTTCCCAATGTCTCTATTCAAATGCTAAGCAAATTTGAATATATAGTTTTGGTTTTACATTTTCTTAGGCAAAGCACCATTTTGTGTATGCTACTGTGTACCTTTCTTTTTCCACTATTTGGTAAGTTTTCAAAACAAAAGTGTTCTAGTCCTAGGTTATCCTTTCCAGTGCTCACAGTATTTTCCCTTCTGCTGCCAGATACTGCTGCACTACGCTGCTGACTCTGTGAAAAGAGTCTCCATGGAACTCGGTGGCCATGCTCCGTTCATTGTATTTGACAGTGCCAATGTGGACAAGGCCGTAGCAGGTGCCATGGCATCTAAATTTAGGAATTCTGGACAGGTGAGTCGTGGGGAGATTTTCCAGAGGTTGGCATGTCTATGTGTAACACACATAAAGATTCCACTCACCACCTTATCTTCTAAAAAGATGCTGTAGAGTTCATGTCATTATTCATTCTCCATGCTTTCAGAAAATATCTAGTAAGCTTTCTTTCATTTGTTTATTGATTGATTGAGTGAGTGAGGGAGGAGGGAGGGAGTGATTGCCAAAGACAATGCTGGGCTCTAGGATCTAAAAAAATGTACTTCTTTACTTTAAAGAATTTCTTAAATTATCAGTATCTTTTAATCCGTTGTTCTTTCTTCTCTTCTTTCCATTATCTTTGTGTATGGTTCTTTTCCATTTTCCTTCCTTGAACTTGCTCTCTTGAACCAGTTTAACTACTTTCTCAGACACAAAACACTCTTGAACTGGTAGGATCTTCAAGGAGGGAAGATTACTATCTTCAGGGAAGAAAGGCAGAAAAATATTGATAACAATGCCCTGGAAAACCTAAAACTTAATAAAAAGATCTGCCTGGGGTTCCCTTCACCTAAGATGGAAGGGGTACCATTTTGTTTTTGTTGTGTGCCATTGAGTCAGAACTTACCCATAGCTGACCTTCCAGTGGAATCAACTTGGCAACAGTAAGTGTGTATATTTTGTTGTTTTGTTTTAGTCTTGTGAAAGTAGATTGTCAGACTTCTCTTTTAAACTAGTGGATTAGAACTGCTAACCTTTTGGTTAGTAGCTGAGCACAAATACTACCCAAAACTTCTAAAGGCATTCCAGAAATAGAATAAATATTGCAGAACGATGACACTGGGCCAGGAGTTGGAGGATGAAAATAATGTGTAATACATATTCTATATTAAATCATTTTATCCTTTGTTAACTTATTTTCCCCTTTCAGTTTTTATTTTGCCTGAAATAAATTTGTTTCCTTTTGCAAATCCAGAATGCCTTCAATGTGACACTATGAAGTTCCAGCTTTGGGACATATTTCTGTCAGCCAATGTTGTTGTTGTTTTTATGTGCCATCTAGTGTCAGCCAATAGAAGCATTAATTTTAAATGCATAGGGCCCAAAATTGTGTGTACACTTGTTTCACCTGGAAATGTATATAATTAAGAAAGTTTATCAAGGATGACTATACTTCTTATAATCTGGTCTTATTTTATAAATTTAATAAATTATATTTAATTAGAAGAAATAAACAATGATGTTTTGAATAATTGTGGTTTGCAGGGAAGAATTCTCTTGTTTCTATTTTCAAAATGACAGAGCTAGCCAAGAACTTAGAACGCTTAAGTTAAAAACTGTGCATTAGCACATGACCTCATTCTTTCTATGCTGTGCTCTCTGATGTCTCTGCATTATTGTCTCTCAGGATAGCATTTTGTCTTGACTTTTTAAAGTTGAGTTTTTAATTGAGCTATCTAAACCTTTGGAAAAAGAGCTGATTGATTTTTTTTTCTTGCACAGTTATTTATACTTGCATAGCACTCATGGAGGGTTGTAGATAGGATTGTGCACTTGTTTGCTGTAGGTATCCTTCCATTCCAGCCTGCATGATGAAAAGAACACTACATTGAACAAGCTGAGAATCACCTGGGAAAGTGTTTTCATACTTTAAGAGGGAGCTGCAGTCACAGATTTAGTGGTTTGGACTCTTAAGTGTTTGCAAGCTGTCTGTATGAATTATGGTTTTTTCCCCCCCTCTTTATGTTTAGACCTGTGTTTGTTCAAATCGTTTCTTGGTGCAAAAAGGCATCCATGACTCATTTGTGAAAAAATTTGCTGAGGCAATGAAGAAGGACTTGCGTGTAGGCAATGGATTTGAGGATGGAACTACTCAAGGCCCATTAATTAATGAAAAAGCTGTAGAAAAGGTAAGTTATTTTTATCATCCAATAAGCTTGCGATGTCAAAACCATGACTTTAACTAGTGACTCCAACATTTGGGCAGGATGCGCAGCAAGGTAAATTTGAAAGCAACTGAGGAATCAGGGAAAATTGAATTTCTGTTGATTGTATGGATCAAGCAGCATTATCTGCCATAAGCACATCCAGGTATTACTGCACACAGTCCCATGAACTCTGCCACTTTTCACATTCTACTGCCTTTCCTTGGAAGGAGGAGTGGCATCCACTTCCATAATAGCTTGCCTCCGGAAACCCTATGAACCTGGAGAGAGGATGAAAGACACACAAGTGTTGAGGACCCTCCTTCATAGGGTCGCTATGAGTCACCTGTGACTTGATGGCACTTAACGATGACAATGACTTCCCTTCTTAGTTCCCTGCTATAAAGGTGATGATTAGAGCGTCTACCCCCACTCCATCCCTGCCTTAGAATTTAAGATCTTAGAATACAGAGTTCTTTACAAAATCCTGTAGTTGGGTTTTTTCCCCCAACACCTAAAAGGAAAGTCTAATAATTGGCTTTGGCTTTGAGATTTTTTTTTGCTGCTTCAGCTGTAATAACTAGCAAAGGTCTGTTATTTCTTCCCTTAACAACAAAATGTCCTTCCAGAAGAAGCCTTAGAGAAAACTACCCATAATGAATTTTACCCATACTTACCCCAAGACAATGACTAGAAATTTATCAAAGTGCTGATCCCTAGCAGGGATCTCATATTATCAAATATTCTATGTTCTAGGATTTAGAGAACAATGAGAAAGGAAATCTGCTTTTAGGATAAGAAAGGGGCTCTCCTGGTTAAAAAAAAAATGATCACAATTTAAGTTGATCTGTTGCTATCACCACTGAATGCTCTAAAAGTAGATCTTGCGTAGAAAGAAGGAAAATGTAGGGAAAAATTAAAAAAAAAACATTTAAAAATACTCATTTGATAGAGACCAATAATATCCACAAGACTGAGCCTTAGTTACTCCGCATACCTAGAAGTAAACTCATGCCTATGGCTTCATTTTTCAGCCAAACAACAGGTAGGCCAAAAGGTGATCAGTAACCTCAAGGATGCTCTCACATCTTAAAACAGCCAACCACATAAAGTTAAAGGAGCAGCATTTGTCCAGGATAAAGCTCAGAAGGCAGGAAGGGGTAGAAGAAAAGAATTAATGGAAATGGAAATTATAGGGAAGAAGTGGAAAGAGTATAATTACGTTGTGGACATTATGATCAATAATGATAAAATTGGTATGAATAGTTAAATGGATAACCAATTTATTTTGTAAATTTTTCACTCAACAATTTTTAAAAAGAAAACTATTCTCACAATTTTTATTACTAGCTATATAGGATTTCTCTGCTATAAAAAAAAAAAAAAAGACCAAAAAGCAACCCAATGTTACATGCAAGGAGACATTTGTCATAATCCTAAACATCTTCCTGATTAAGTCTCTATGGATCAAAAGGATTTTAATAAAGTACTTTAAATCCAGCAGAATATGGAGGCTGAGGATAGTGTGTAGGAATGGAGGGAGGCAAGATGAGCCAAATCTACAGGAAAACTCAGTGTTACTCCTATTCATTGACCTTGGTAAGGTTGGAGAGCAAGTCCAGAATTAGCTGCTCTGATCTAGTGAATAATCTGTGAGCTCAGGCCACAACTCCCACTTTGTTGTTGTTGTTGTTATGTGCCATCGAGTTGC